GGGAGGGACCAGCCCGCCAGGGGTCAGGGGCTGGCGGGGGGAGAGGCCAGCCTCACTGAGGGTCGAGAGTCTTGTGGGGGCTGGCAGGGGGAGGGCCCGGTCTCAGCAGGGCCAGCATGTCTCCATGGAGGACCCATCCTCCGGTTGACTGTGCCCTGCTTTGCTTTTTTAAACTTCAAATTTTTAGACCCCAGGGGTCTAATTTTCTCCCCGTGCTGAAGTTTTTTCATTCCCGCACGTGCCTGTTGCCCCGCCTCAAAGGGGTTTGAGGCTGGGCAAGCACATGTGCACTTGTGTGGACGCGCCCACTGTGAGCATACACATAAACAGTTACCACTGAATAAATTCACAGCCTATTTGCCTCGCACTAAAATGCTGCATTTCCCTACCCTAGGGAAGAAAGGTTCTCCAGCCCTGTTATTGGCAAGGGAAAGGCATTTTTCAAAAGGGAAGCAAGGTATGGGAATGTTGCAAAAGTGAAGCAAATTAAGTCACGATGAAAATAGACAAACATCTTCACCCAAACACAAATTTTCATACTTGTACTACATTGATGATAAATATTTCTTTGCTTTTCTGGCTTTGCATTGCTGTAAATAGACGGTTTGAATTTCATCTAACTATTTCTGTTTTCAGTGTTTCGTGCTTTTGATAAGGACAATGATAGCTGTGTCAGTGTAAAGGAATGGGTGGAAGGCTTATCAATTTTTCTTCGGGGGACATTAGAAGAAAAGATGAAATGTAAGGTTTCTCTGATCTCAGTATTGAGTCATAAATGTTGAAAGTATTATTTAAATTTCATACAAATACTAATAATATCTTTTTATAAAGGTAATTAAACATGTTTTAACAGTTTTATGTTATCGGATTCAAAGCTTTTTACTACTGCCATTTTGTTTTGGCTTTCCATTTCCTTATTTTTATTAGGACCCTAAGACAAAATTATGAGACCAGGAGTTAAATAAAGGTTCTGAACTGACCTGCTATTCATGGGAAGCATCATAGTTGGAAAATCCCATTTCTTCAAGGTGCTCTTATTGCCTGCATATTTTCCAAGGGCACAGCTTAGTGGGTATGCATACCTCATGATGGGTTTTCCAATATCTTTTGCCCATCAGCAGACTGTAATCTGCAGTGACAGACTTTCACTCCTCCTTAGTGAACATGCACAGAACTAAAGGAATGAAAGAGAACAAATGAATGTCAAACCAAATGTTTTCACTCTACACTTTCAACAAGAATAGGATTTCTTACCTTTAGAAATGGCACCCCAATAAGCTTCGTTTTTTAAACTAACGGGTACATTGCATTGAACTTAGTAGCAACTTTACCTAACTCCTTTTTATGAATCTAATATCTTTGTTAGTGGGATAAGCACTCTGTATAGATCCTAGTGATTACATGTACTCAGGGTTGCCCCGGGCCCTGCGCTTTGGGGAACCCTGCAGAGCTGGGTGGAGCAGCCATGGCAACTGTATGGCACTGCTGCTTACTTGGAGTCCAGCTGCTCGCTTACCCCCCCACTGGCCACTGCTGATGGCAGTCGCAGCTTCTTCAGTACCAGGGCAGGTGCAATTGGAGCAGGGGCAGGGTCCCTCATTTGCCAAGGCAAGGAAATGGTTTATAAATAAACTTATTTTGATAAGATTGTTTTGAGGTTTATGACCTGAATGGTGATGGATACATATCACGAGAGGAGATGTTCCATATGCTGAAGAACAGCCTCCTAAAACAACCAACAGAAGAAGATCCTGATGAGGGAATTAAAGACCTGGTAGAAATAACACTGAAAAAAATGGCAAGTACCCTTCCTAAAGTGGTGGTTTATTTAAGGGTTCTCTCGATTTTAGTGAGATGCTCAGACTTCAGAAGCAGTGAATCCCTATGAGGCTATTTCACCTTAATAAATGGGGACTGAGGCACAGCGATAGTAAGGAAATTACTCCAGATTACACAAGTTATGAAAGGAGGAGCTAGAAATACATATTACCCATATGAATTCCAGTCCAATGACCTAAAAACACAACAAAGGTTTCTCTCTCATTTCACCTGTAAATTTTTCCTACAGCCAACTAAAGATGCATTTCATGTAAAGAATGTCAGAAGCTGTAGCAACATCTCATTTAACACAATTGCCAGATGCTTTCTTTCTGACACTAGAAGAATAAATGGTTTTCAAGATTCAAATTATGTTACATTTAAGACAACAGTAGAGTTGCCACTCCATGGACCAGGGCAGAGCTGTGCAGCACAGGCAGCTGAGGGTGAAGCGGGGGCCATATAGGTATGTGGTCAGGGGGCTTGCCCATACAGTTGTGCATTGCATCAGTGTGGGGGATAGGACCCATGTGGGGGGTGGGGCACTTACCAGTGCAGCCCATGGGGCATCCAGCCCCTGGCTGCTTAGAAGTTGTACAGCCCTGGTTTACACCCTCAGGTGGGGGGTGATACAGAGATACCTAGGACACTGGCACTGTTTTAACAGAAACTGCTGGCCAAAAAACTTTGATCTTGTGCATATTCACAGGGAATCATCGATAATCCTTATCCTTCTTTTGCAGGACTATGACCATGATGGCAAACTTTCTTACACTGATTTTGAAAAAGCTGTAAGAGATGAAAATCTTCTCTTAGAAGCATTTGGACCATGTTTGCCAGATATAAAGGTAGGAAAGCATCCTTGCATTAAAATGGGAAATAAATTTGTAAGTGTACCCTTCTGCTTAACTTTCTTCTTGTGACATTCTGCTGAAGACGTGCCTTTGGGCCTGCCTTTGGCTTGAGCCAAGAGGTTGAACAGTCCCAAACATCAGCTTCTTGGCAGCCTAGGCTCTCAGGTAGAAGTTCCTATCATGCAGACAGCCCTGGAAGTCAGGGCTTTGGGGCAGCTTGGCAGGCAGTTAGCTTAAATTGGTGTTCCCTAGATTTTTGAGACTCCTCACTCTCTCTGCCCTGAAGACCTGGCCCTCCCTGGCACACACTTAAGATTTCAGGGAATATGTAAAACCTGTCATTCAGTTTCATGGAGAATGCCAAGCTTCCTAGCTTTTTAATGCTTAGTAAAAACAAAACCACAATTTTAAAACCTTAAAATCCACTACTAAAGGAATTTTCTCTCTGCCCAGCTGTACTACTAATCTTAATTTCTAAGGTAAGAGAAACAAGGGCAGAGAGAGGTTATGTGCCTTGCCCAGTCATTAAAAGCTGAGCCAAAAAGTCCAGGCTCTGACTCCCAATCCTCAGCTCTAAAGTAGTGATGCCTGGAGATGCAGATTAACTGTTTCCTGCTTTCATTGCTTATGCTCTGTATTCTGTACCCTGAAGAAAAGGGTTTTGGTATAAAACTAGGAACCTAATAAGGAGCTTTTTCTGCTATGCATTACTATATAGATCTAGTCAAAAAAGCTGCAACTGCACTTAAGATACTAATTTTACTATTTTCTAGCATATGAAATAACCAGGCTTGCAGAGCAACAACAAACTTTTACTTTTTTTAAGACAGGGGCAACACTCATTGCAGCCATTTGATTTAATTCTAATACATACCAATCAAGACATTCAGACTTATGAGTCCTATATAATAGTAATACTATCCTGTAGCTTCCCATAGGAACCAGAATACTGAATATTCTGATTTCTCAGCCATGAGCCATCTTTTATTTTTGTTTGATTTTACATGAGTTGTTATAAAATGAGGGGTTAGAAGGATGTTCCTAATATTTCAGTAACTTGATTTATCCTTAAAGACCTCAATTTAACAGAAGTTTTCTAGATAAGTTTCCTTGATCTAATCATTAAAAAAAAGATAAATTACTGTGCTGTTTTTGTCTTCTGTTACAGAGCAGCCTGGCATTCGAAATGCAAGCTTTCCAAGAAACTCATGATCTGTAGCTCTATAACTAGATTTCTGCTGTTAACCAATTCAGAAAATCTGTGTTTAAGACATTAAAAACAGAAGCAAATCAGGATTTAGTTTAACACTAAAAACTAATATTCCTATTTTTAGTATAGCTTTTAACCCATTTCTTTAGTAGGTAACTCAAATGACTTCCTTTTAAATGATCTGCAGTTTTTATGACAGAAAAAGTTACTTGTACACCTGAAGCTCTTGCATCTCAACAGCAATAGATATACAGAGGACTATACTAGAAACACTTGTTTGTTTAATGAAATGTACCAAAAAGAGCTTAGAATTTTTAAACCACTACTTAAATCATTTTGAAATATAGTTTATTTTTATCTGTTACATTAGAAAAATAAATAACTGAAACTGTATCCTTTAAAAAAGAGTGAACATTTATATTCTTCTTCTCTGTTTTACAAGTGGCTTTGTTTGAATGTCCTGTGGGTTTTCCTTCAAAGTTTCTGGAACGGAAGCTGCCACCTAGTTTAAAATATAAAGTCCAAGTTTAGTATGCTGCACTTCTTACTGCTTTTAGAATAAAAGCTCCCATATATTTATTTCTTTGCAGTGTTTTGAGTTCTGGGAGGAAGAGAAAATACTTTTACAAGCACAGCTTCAACAAATAAAAGGGTAAACAGTGACCAAATTGGCTGTATTTTAACACCAAATTGTACATTTGATGTTAGAGTTGGGATGCAGCGATAGAGATTTTGGGGGTCAATAGTGATAGCCACTATTCAAGGAGGCATCTCAGCTGATACCAATCTGATACAGCTGACGCCAACTGATTAAGTCTGGTGTGGCAGAAGATGCATGGGGGTGCATTAGGGAAGATGCATGGGGGTGCAGATCAACAACCCCTGCAGTGAAGGAGGGGGCAGGGGCAGGTGCTGCCCTGCTGGGGAGGTGGGGCATGGCTCATGGGGTAGAGGTGGCTCCCACTGCTGCTTGCACTCCGGGGGGTGCCCCCCAGATCTGCGCAGCACAGGGTGAAGCCAGAGCTGGTGCTGCGTGGGGCTTTTCTTGCCAGGAGCTGGGCTCTGAGCAGACTGCAGCCACCCCAAATTTTGCTGCAGCTCCACTCCCAGCCCTATGTTGCTGCAGCCCCAGGTTTTTCTTGTGCTTGGGTGGAGGTAGGGCATTCAGCTGGGGCTGCGCTGCATGGCAGGCGGTGGCACAGGGCTGGAAGCAGACCTGCGGCGAAATCTGGGGTGGCTGCAGCTTCCTCCCAGCACCGCCAGAGCCCACTCTGAGCTCGGCCCCCATAAGAAAGGCCCCAAGCAGTGCCAACTCCAACCCAGAGCTCCAGCCTGCC